ACGATCTAGAATGACAAAGGAAAAACTCATACATATAGAAAACTTTATCATAAAAGTGGGCCACAATAAACTAACAAGACTTAATAGCAGAGGGGAAAAATAACAATTGTAGTAAATAGGTCTTTAAAATACTTTGCAAAGGTCTAATTCAAGTCAATAAGAAAACTGGACTAAATAGAGTCTTGGCAAAGGACATGAATACCAAAAAGCACATTCAAAATAATCCTGTGGAGAAAGTGCACGTTGGTTAAGAGAAATTATTGCACAGCCACAAGGCCCTGAGTTCAGATGCCAGCACCGTGGAGCTAATCAGCTGTGCTTTGCAGCACTCTGGAGACCCCTCCTGGGGCAGGAGCAGACAGGAGGCTCTCTGGGGCTGCCGTCTGTCAGCCTACTAGTTGAGAGGTAAGAAATATGGGGATAGGATCCTGGATAGAGACAAATTGTCACCACAATGGGGATCACTGGATGAAAACAAACAGATGCCACTAAATGGAAATTGGAAACAAAGATGAATTTATTTGCCTGTCTGAAAACAAAGGACACATCTCTCAAGCAAAACATTCTGCTTATTGTACCTGAATGGACTGGTTACAGAGCAAAGGGAGGAAGGACACCAAAACTGGCAGCACACTGAGGTTAGATCTGCTGGGCTCAGAGGCTGAGCTCAGTCCTTTGTAACTGCTCACTGGACCATGTCACTTCTTTCGAGTGCAGGCTCCACTCCTGGTGTTGTCCAGGATGCTCCCGTCTGCTCGCTGTCACTCTGGTGGCCACTGGAACCAGCGGGCTTGAAGGAGGCCAAATCTTTGTTGAAGAGCAACCGCGGAAGCCCAGCATGGTTTATGCCAGTGACATCACCGTCCCTTCGCTAATCTCTTTCAGAATGGACAGGCCGTGTTTCCACTTCTTAGGGCAAAAGGCAAACAAACATACATGTGCCCTTACAAAGGCAGACTTCATGTAGGCAGACTATCCTTAAGAGTTACAAAGGAACAAAACAAACAGCAAAATAACACCTGTGTCTGAATGATGGCAGCACCACTACCCACAGCAGCCAAAAGATGGCAACAGCCCAAACACAGATAAACAGGTCAGGCCATACACAGGGAATGTGCCAAAGAGGCTCCAAGTGCCGGTGCATAGTACAAGACGAATACACATCAAACACATGCCAGGCAAAAAGGCAGACACAAGATGTACAACGTTGTACCAAACACTGTATAAGTCATACACTATAAACACTAAGAACAATTAAATCTATAGGGCCACAAAGCAAAGTGGCTGGGGGGAGGGGAGGAAGCCTTCCCCCTTTGTGCCTAAGAGGCCCGGGACTTCTTTTGAAGTGCCGAGCATGGTTGGCATACAGACAGAGGGGCTGACTGCACAGCGCCGCCAATGTCATAAATGCGAAAGGATCACGGTAACGGAAATGTTACCTTGGTGTGGGTAACCCTACAGAACTGATCACCCCTTGACTCTCTCCTGTTTTGGATGTGAGCCTAGCCTTTAAGGGCCAGGCCATCTCTCCAGCCCAGCACACCTCGACTCTCTGAAGGGAACAGATCAAAAGAGATGGAGCAGTTCAGGTCATTGAAACAGGAAAACTGAAATGAGCTGAACAACTGGGGAAGGATAAACGGGGGTGGGGGGAGGAGGAGGGGGAGAGGGGAAAAAGGAAGGAAAAGGGGAGGAAGGGGGGAAGGGGAAGAGGGGGAGGGGGGAAGGGGAAGAGGTGGAGGAGAGGGTAGTGGGAGGGGGAGGAGGAGTAGGGGAGAGGAAGGGGGAGGAGGGGGGAAAGGGGAAGAGGTAGAGGGGGAGAGGAGGGGGAAGGGGGAGGATGGAGAAGAGGAGTAGGGGAGAGGAAGGGGGAGGAGGAGGAGGAGGGAGAGAAGGAGGGGGAGAAGGAGAAGGAGGACGACAGTCCACTTTACAGCTCAGAAGGCTGTGGGCACTGGAGAAGCAGAGCAGTAAATGTTATTTCCAAGTGCTTATTCCCTTGGTGCAAGTATCCTAGAATGTTCTAAAATAGGTAAATGGCCTCCCAAGGAGCACCACAGCAAGCCATCCCAGACTGCCTCTTCCAGGCCAGTGGCAGGGTCTGGAGGAGAGCTGGGGCTGGCCAGAGCCCCGAGTGCTGGGAAACCTTCCGAGGGCTGGGAGGGCCATAAACAAATCTGCCACCGACTCCCTTGCACAGGGTGCCTGTCTAGGGCGGACACATTTCAGTGTGACGACTTTCCTTTGTTCTGGTCTCCTTTGGGATTAGTTTTTCCAGCGGGCTCGCAGCAATCGCATTTCAGATGCTGCATGCAGGCCTTTTAAACTAAGAAGGACAAACTAAGTTCTCCTGAAAGACATTTCTCCTGGTTCACAAGTCAGTTCCTTACATATTAACAGGAAAATCATTTTTACAAATCTGTCACAAGGCACAACATGCACGAGCCTTGGGGACATCATGTCAAGTGAAAAAGACTGTCTGATATAATAGGCACCTCATGGTTCCACACATGTGAGGTACTGGGAGCACTCAGACTCCTGGAGGCATAAGCAGCCAGGGGTGGGGACAGGAAATGGGGGATTTTATGGTTTAGGGGTGCAGCGTTTCAGTCCCGAAAACAAATGAATTAGTTCTAGAAGCACGTGGCACAGCTTTGGGATTGTGCTTTCTAATACTGAGCTGTGACTATAAAATTGTTAAAACAGCCTCAACAGTGGTGGCGTAGGCATACCTTTAATCCCAGCACTCGGGGGGAGGCAGAGGCAGGAGGATTTCTGTAAACTTAAGACTGGCCTGGTCTACAGAGTGAGTTCCAGGACAGCCAGGGCTACACAGAAAAACCCTGTTTTTGCTGGGGAGGGGGGCGGGTAGGGGTGGTGAGAAAAAAAGCCATTGAAGACAAAACTCATTCCAAATTTTTTGTTAAAACAGCAAAATGTGTGTTTGTTTTTAATCATCATTTACAATAAGCCTCTCAATTATTGCTAAGTTATGAACTTAAAGTATATTGTTGCAATTAAAAAAACATATGAAGTTTATGTGCTTGGGAGTTTTGCCAGCATATATGCATGTGAACCATGTAGGTACCTGGTGCCCATGCAGCTAAGAAGAGGGCATCATATCCCCTGGCACTGGACTTCCAGTTGGTTGTGAGCCACCATGTCGGCACAAAGAACTAAACCCCGCTCTTCTGCAAGGCCACACATTTTCTTAAGCACTAAGCCATCGCTTGAGCTATTTTATTTTTCAATTCTATTTATGTGAGAGGGACACATGCATGTGTGTCCCCTCAGAGGCCAGAAAAGTGTCTGTCAGAATTTCTGGAGCTGGAGGTGACTGAAGTGGGGGCTGGAAAGCAAACTCCAGCCCTTGAAAGGGCGGCAAGTACTCTTAATTGTGGAGCCATTTGTCCAGCCCCTTATGACTGCACTTTGAATGTTTATCTAAATGACAATCTGGAATTACTAAAGATAACAAATTTCAGATGTGAATTCACACTGGGACACTACAATAAACACTCCTTTATCAAACACAAGGAGCAAAATAAGCAAAACAGTCCTAGGTTTTAAAATCCCTTCTCTGTTTCTACGCAAAACTTTGGGCATTGAGCTTTTTACTTTTGCATTTTAAGCAGTCACATACTGACACATTCCAAACACCAACAAAAAAATAAAAACTAGGAATGATTTAGCTCAATACTGGTACATTTTACAGAGAAGTAAGAGTCAGGACCTTGGGGGGTTTGGTTGCCCTCCCGTTCCTCTATCACTGGGTTCGCTAGCTGCATTCCCACGTGCAGAGGACCGAATGTCTGCTCTGGACACAGTCACTATGCGTGGTATGATTCGCACATGCACATTCTGGGTCTGCCCCTGCCTCTGCCCCTGCCGGACCATGATAGCAGAGACCTGGAAGCCCTGGGCCCGAACATTCTGCCTGTGGCTCTGTGGGGTGGAGCTCACCCGAAATACCACAGACCTCTGGGTCTGTTGAACCACTCTGGGCCCCTCACTGTTAAGGCGACTAGTTTGCTGATCTGGCAAGGACACCTGCTGAGGATTAGACCCTTGGGAGGAAGCTGCTGGCCCTGGCTGTGGCTGCTGGGGGACAGGGGCGCTGGGTGGTTGCAGCTGTTTTGGAATCAATACATATGTCTGCTGTGGAAATTGCAGTGGTCTCTGGGATGACATCTGAGAGTCTGTGTGCATAATGAGAGAGCCAGGGGGAGTCCTTACACTTATGGGATTTGCTGTATTATTTATAATGAGTCGCACAGGTGGCCTCACGGTGCGCTGTGCTGGCCTAGGTTCTCTGGTTGGAATGTGGCTATTATGACTGGTTCCCTCAGCAGCTGGGGCGCTAGTGAGGCGGACTGGGACCTGGGTTGAATTACCCACCATAGTAGACCTTACCAAACGGATCACGCGAACACGAGTGGTCCAAGTGGGGGGCTGGATCTTCGGGTTGTTTTCTGATGACCTAGCACTGGGTTGGCCAGCTGGAGGAACTCTGCTCATTCCCACAGTGGTCCGCTGAACCACCCTGACTGCTTGAGGAGCAGGAGGCGGGTCTCGCCTGGCCTCTGGTGTGACAGACCTGAGAGATGAGGGGCCCTGTCTCGAGATGGGGGCCAGTGACACCAGTAGAGGAATTTTGCTTTCCTTCTTTAAGGCTGACAATGACACTAGACTGGCTGTGGGCTTCTTCCCTGGGGTGGGCTGAGGAGGCCAGACTGAGCTACTAGGCCACTTCTTCCCTGGGGTGGGCTGAGGACAGACTGAGCTACTAGGCCGCTTCTTCTCTGGGGTGGGCTGAGGACAGACTGAGCTACAAGACCACTTCTTCCCTGGGGTGGGCTGAGGAGGACAGACTGAGCTACTGGACCCCTGTGGCATCTTGCTGGGACAACTAGCTTGGCTCTGGACAGCCTCCTGGCACATAGGCACTGTCTTCCTTGGCTCAGTGTTTATCCCTGTCAGGAAATCATCTGAATAATCACCCAGGGCAACAGGAGGGAGAGACATGGCGTTAGCACTGCTGCCCTCTGGAAGTGGCTCTATTTCCTCATTGAGAAGCGTATTAAGGCACTCCATGATATCTTCATTCCTATCCCATAGCTGACTGTCATCCTCACAATCAAACATACAATCATATTTTACCTCAGGAATTGCTGAGATGGTTGGTTCAGTCTCATCAAAGGGCAGAGATAGCAACTCTTTAACAAAGCTCTCCAAGTCCATCTCTGAAGGCACAGTCAGTTCACAGGGACTCTGGTTGCATGTTTCTGTTCCATCAATCTGCAGGTCAGATGGGTTATCTGGACTTATTTTTGCCTGCTTTTTGCAAGGAGTGGTTGTCATTAAGTCAGGGGGACAAGAACACCCAGATGGTACCTCCTCTTGATCCAGAGAGGGGCATGCATGCCTCTTGAAGCATTGCCGCATGGGGTTAGTGTTCATCTTCTGCTCATTAAACAGCAATTTGTTGGCCGTGCAGGTGACAGCAACAGAAGGATCCAGACACAGTGGCTCTGCTGTAGCTAAGATCAGTTGGCTCTCAAGCTCCTGTTTTGCTTCCTGGGTCCACTGACTGCTGTCACTTGTCATGGACTCGACATCGCTTACTAGAGACTGCATCGTTGGACGTAAGAGAATATGCCGGACTTGGCAAGCAGGAGAGGACACAGCAGCCTCTGCAGCAGGCTCCTCGGGAGGGTAGATGTCACCACACTGCCTGTAGTCTCGGATTTCTGCTATGACACAGCCACTGTGAAAAACATTCACAGGAGACTTTTCCAGAATATCAATCAGAAAGGAAGGTAACTCTTCAGCATCCAAATATTCAAGCAGTTTCTGTCCTACATACGGCCCTGGATAGGGCTCTATAAGGACTCCATCTTTATCCTTGAGCATGAGAGAATAGCCCTGGTTTTCTGGGTACAGGCTGACCACTAAACATGGCAATGGCTCTCTCTTCATAAGCTTCTCTAGCAAGTTGACATTGCTTCGAAGGCCCTCTGCTTCTGGCTCCTTTTCACACTCCTCCACATAAATGTCATACAGTTTTTCCTGAAGAGATTTTTCCCCACAAGACGCGGGTTTCAGTGGAGGGGGTTGCTGCTGAACAGTCTCATCGCCCCCCTCCAAAGTGTCCTGTAAAGTTTGTTCCATCCTAATAGAAAATCGGGGCCCTTAAAGAAAAACAAAAAGTATTGGTGAACAGGTAGAAATCATGGCAGTTCTATCAACGGTGAGGCAAAACTTTACAACTCTGTGTAGGAGTGTACACTTTGAATTTAATACGGACCCCAAGAAACCTGCCTCCCGTTGGTGTGATGCAGATGCTGCCAATTCCTGTACTGTATTCTGGGGGATTAGATTCTGGGGGATTAGGCATGGGCAAACCAGTCTGGGCTGCACCGAGAGACCCTGACTTAACTGCGAAGACAAGCCAAAGGAACCAAGAGCTACATTTAAATTTGCAAGTTTTTTTTTTCAGGACAGGGTTTCTTTGTGTAACAACTCTAACTATCCTGGAACTAGCTCTTGTAGACCAGGTAGACCAGGCTGGCCTTGAACTCAACAGAGAATCGCCTACTTCTGCCTTCTGAGTGCTGGGGTTAAAGGGCGCCACCTCCACCCGGAAAAATTCCCCAAGTTTTTATTATGTACACAACTTTCTGCCTCCATTTATACCCACACGCCAGAGGAGGGCGCCAGATCTCTTTACAGATGGTTTGGAGCCACCATGTGGTTGCTGGGAATTGAACTCAGGACCTCTGGAAGAGCAGACAGTGCTCTTAACCACTGAGCCATCTCTCCAGCCCTTCCCCAAGTTTTTAAAAAAGCATTCGTACCTTTGGCACCCACTGTCAGTGTGTCGTCCTGGTGCGTTGTGGTGGAAAAGCTGTCCTGGACCAGGCTGTCCTCGAACTAACAGATTCGCCTACTTCTGCCTCCCGAGTGCTGGGGATAAAGGGCACCACCACTGCCTGGAAAAATTTTGCAAGTTTTTAAAAGCATCCATACCTTTGGCGCTCACTGCCAGTGTGTCAGCCTGGTGCGCTCTGTGCTGGTAAAGGTATCCTGGACTAGGCTGGCCTCGAACTAACAGATTCGCCTACTTCTGCCTCCCAAGTGCTGGGTTTCAAGGGCGCCACCACCGCCTGGAAAAATTTTGTAAGTTTTTAAAAAGCATCCATATCTTTGGCACTCACTGCCAGTGTGTCAGCCTGGTGCGCTCTGTGCTGGTAAAGGTATCCTGGACTAGGCTGGCCTCGAACTAACAGAGAATCTCCTACTTCTGCCTCCCGAGTGCTGGGGTTAAAGGGCGCCCCCACCACCCGAAAAAATTCTTCAAGTTTTTAAAAAGCATCCATACCTTTGGTGCTCACTGTCGGTGTGTTGTCCTGGTGCGCTGTGGTGGAAAAGCTGTCCTGGACCAGGCTGTCCTCGAACTAACAGATTCGCCTACTTCTGCCTCCCGAGTGCTGGGGATAAAGGGCACCACCACCGCCTGGAAAAATTTTGCAAGTTTTTAAAAGCATCCATACCTTTGGCGCTCACCGTCGGTGTGTCGGCCTGGTGCGCTCTGTACTGGAAAAAGAACAGGCTGGCCTCGAACTCACAGAGATTCGCCTACTTCTGCCTCCCAAGTGCTGAGGTTAAAGGCGGGAGCCACCACCGCCAGGAAAAATTGTCCTAGTGTTTACAAAAGCGTCTGTACTTTTGGCGCTCGCTGCTCGCTGCCGGTGTGTCGGCCTGGGGCGCTCTGTGGTGGAAAAGCTGCCCTGGAGCAGGCTGGCCTCGGACTCACAGAGATTCGCCTGCCTCTGCCTCCCGAGGGCTGGGGTTAAAGGCGGGCAGGCGCCACCACCATCGGGAAATATGGCTCTCGCTGCCGTTGTGTCGGCCTGGGGCGCTCTGTGGTGGAAAAGCTGCCGGACTCACAGAGATTCGCCTGCCTCTGCCTCCCGAGGGCTGGGGTTAAAGGGCGCCACCTCAGCCCGGCAAATTTTGCAAGTTTTTAAAAGCATCCATACCTTTGGCGCTCTTCGTCGCTCACTGCAGGTGGGTCGGCCTGGTGCGCTCTGTGCTGCAAAATGGACGTGAAGGGCTGATGGGGCTGACGAGCGGCAAGCTTGCCGCGTCGTCTTCCCCTGTTGCCTTCTGCACGCTGAATGCCGCGCTCGGGCTCGCCCTCCTTATATAGCCTCGTGGGTAGGCGTGTCCCTTTTCAAACTTCCTTTCCAGGGCCCGCCCTGTTTCCGCAGGAGAGGCGGGAAGGTTTTGGGGGCTTGAGCGCGCGTAGCAAATTTTTTTGTTACAGTTTCGATATCCACCATTTCACACCCGAACAACTTGCAGAGTCATCGTGCACCATTTTATTTGTCTGGGTGGGCCCTTTAAGAACCAATCTGTGAGCCGGGCGGTGGTGGCACACGCCTTTAATCCCAGCACTCGGGAGGCAGGCGGATCTCTGTGAGTTCGAGGCCATCCTGGTCTACAAGAGCTAGTTCCAGGACAGGCTCCAAAGCCACAGAGAAACCCTGTCTCGAAAAACCAAAAAAAAAAAAAGAACCAATCTGTGGGAGGAAGAGGTAGACAGATCTCTGGTAGTTCGAGGCCAGCCTGGCATACATAACCAGTTTGAGGCCAGCTTGGCCGTACAAGTCACCTGAGGGTCTCTCTCTCTCTCTCTCTCTCTCTCTCTCTCTCTCTCTCTCTCTCTCTCTCTCTCTCTCTCTCTCTCTCTCTCTCCCTGCCTCCCTCCCTCCCCCCCCCCTCTTTCCTCGAACCCAGAGATCCACCTGCATCTACCTCTGAGACTACAGGCATGCGCTGCTACCACCCTCCAGTGAGACTATGTCTGTAAAAAATAATGTGATTGCCCACATCTTTAATCCCAGCACTCGGGAGGCAAAGGCAGGCAGATCTCAGTGAGTTCGAGAACAGCCTGGTCTGCAAAGTGAGCTCCAGGACAGTCAGGACTGTTACACAGAGAAACCCTGTCTCGAAACAAACAAACAAACAAACAAATCTGTATTTGGAATCTATTGTCGCCATTGTTTAGGCTGCTTCTGATACCCATTTGGCATACCTAAGAAAGTCACTGTATGCTTGGTGTGAGTGATACAATTCTGCCGAGAGGGACCTTGGCAGCTGGTGGCTCTAAATCGTGGCAGGTGAGAACCCACGGCGGTGAGGGACAGACATGCCAGGTAGACAGCACTTAAGTGGAGAGTTTTATTGAGATAAAGGGACTGGGGGAAGGGAAGGGAGAGAGAAAGAGAGAGGGAGAGGAAGAGAGATGTAGAGAGAGAAAGGCGAAGAGGAGGAAGTGGGAGAGGCAGGCAGAGTTCCGCCTTTTAAAGGGACAGGGTACGGGCCTTCTAACAAGCAGGTGTGAGGCACCCTATAAGGTCCTCAGCGGGTGTGGCCATGTTCGCCCGGATGCTAAGAGTGAGTTATCACAAGGCTTCTTCCTATTCCTGCCCCAGGCTTTTCATATAGCTAGACACATAACATGGCATTCTTTCTTTTTCTTTTTTTCTTTTTTGGTTTTTCGAGACAGGGCTTCTCTGTGTAGTCCTGACTGTCCTGGAACTAGCTCTTGTACACCAGGCTGGCCTCAGAGAGGTCCGCCTGCCTCTGCTCCTGAGTGCTGGGATTCAAGGCGTGCGCCACCATCGCCCAGTAACGTGGCACTCTTTTTTTTCCGAGACAGAGTAACGTGGCGTTCTTATTCACAACTACTTAGCTTTTATTTTCCTATGTGTTTCTAGTTTTTCTTTTCTTTTTATTATTATTTTGTGTAGGGTGTTTTGCCCACGCGTTTGTTTTTGTACCACACATGTGTAATACCCTCGGAGGCCAGAAGAAGGCATCAGATCCCTGTGGGCCTGGAGTTCCAGAGGTTGTGAGTGGCCAGGTGGGTGCTGGAAATGGAACCCAGGTTCTCTGGAAGAGCAACCAGAGCTCGTAATTGCTGAGCCATCTCTCCAACCCCAGCTTTTCTCTTTATTTCTTTTTTCTTTTCTTTTCTTTTCTTTCTTTCTTTCTTTCTTTCTTTTTCTTTCTCGCTCTCTCTATTTTTTTATGTTGTTAGATTTCTTTGACTATTTATAGAATCTCATTTTCCAATCCTTTTGTTGCCTTGAAATTTGCCAGTTCTTTTTTGACAGATGTTTAGATTCTCTAATGTTTAGATTTACATACAGCAATGACACCAATATTCACTGTAATTGCCTATAACAACAAGAATCCAAGATAAGTTTGTGAAGTCCCAGAAGTAGGCAGATTTATAATAAATATATATATTTTTTGGTTTCTTTGCTTTGTTTTTGAGACAGAGTCTCACTGTACAGCCCTGGCTGGCCTGGAACTCAACATGTAGATCAGTCTGACCTCAAACTCACAGAGGTCTGTGTATCTCTGCCTAAGGAGTGCTGCACTATCATAACGGTTTTTTAAAAAAAAAATCAGTGGCACACGGCTTTAATCCCAGCACTCTGGAGGCAGAGACAGAAGGATTTTTGTGAGTTCAAGAGCAGTCTGGTGGTATACAGAACTAGTTCCAGGACAGTCTCCAAAGCTACAGAGAAACCTTGTCTCAACCCCCCCCCAAAAAAAAAATTCAGTAGGAATTGTGATTGTTATACATTATCATAGATACATTATATTTGGTTGGATTGAAAGTTCTTTGCCTGAGCACATTAGAGCTGACCATGCTCACTCTGTGTGTGTGTGTGTGCGCGCACACAGGAGAGCTGACTCTGCCTCCCCTCGTATGCCCCCTTCAGTAATCAGGAGATAGGGCCCTGCACCTTGCTTGGGCAAAACAGTAGAGCTGGCTTTGGTGGTGTGATTGTGGGTGACCAGATCTGAGGATCTGAGAGCAGGAGAACTGGCCCCATTCCTTGCTGCAGGATGCATTGGGTGAGCTGGCCAAGGCAGTGCTGGAGAGCTTACCCAGGGAAAACTGGCAGATTGACTATCACCCAGGCCCAGAACCAGGGCTATGAATTACCTCACCCCAACATTTACCTGAATTGCTGGAGTATGTAAAGGGACCAGACCTGTTGATCCAAAGATACAGGACCTCCATGACACAGGACAACAGAATATGCAAGAGGAGTCCCAGTGGGGCCCAGTATCTACAGGGCAGCAGA